TGTAGCCCTAAACGTGTCATACAACAAAACAGTAAACAATGATAGATTGAATTTGTGTAAGCGTGAAACGTTTGGCATTGATTTTAAAACTGTTCAAAGAGATGTTTTATTGAATTGGAAACTTGCATTTTTGTTCTTCAGAGTCTCTAATCACTTAATTCTGTCCATACAGGAGGCCTTCATCAGATCTATCCTGTCCAAACCCTTCAAGATCCCCATCCCTAATTACAAAGGTAGGTAGGAAGTTTTGTGAGCTTTAGGACAAGCAAAGTCTTTTAATACCAAGTTGTAAAGAACCTCTAAAATATCAAACAGTTTCTAAGTGTACCGCGTAGATTTTTTTAATGTGCTGAAATGTAATTTGTATTGTTTTGATTGAACCTATCAGATAAGATCATTTTATTGAGCAAAGGAGCTGTACATGACATGCTTTTTCTAACAAGATGCTGGTTTTGAGTTTGAAAAAGACTGATATACTGGTACCAATGTACAATATTCATTTTATGACAAGTCCTAAACCATTCCATGGACACGCGCAAAAGAGGTCAAAATTGGAGTGAAGGTCAGGGGCACTGAAATAAAAAGTAGGATTTTTTGTATTACAGGAAAATGTTGTCACAATCACAAAGTTTTGAAAGTTTGTTTCTTTATTTGTCATGTGTCCAGGGCCCACGTTAAAGGGGTCATTAGGCGTACGCAGACAGGGCACTCGCAGGCCGCTGCATGACCCTGAAGAGGAGGGAGCTCTGGTGCTGTACCACCCTCCTCAACTCTCAGCACAGGAGGCTCTCAAAGTAGACCTGTGAGTTGTCAGTTTTATTTAGAAAACAGCCAACTGGTCAGAGGCTATTGTGGCTAGCTATCAGGGGACAAGGAAACACAAACTACGTAGAATTACTGGACTGAATGCTTAGTACCTACTGCAAAAGCAAAGTATGAAATCGTATTTTTAAAAAAGGCCTAAAATGATTAAACTCTCCAACTTGACAGTTACTGGTAGTTGAGAAGTCATGTTTTATCACCTTAGCTTTGGTCTAGAAACAATTTTTTCTGTTGCTATGATCAGTGATCATAATATAGTCTGATATGATAAATATACATGTATGTTTCTAGACATATTTTCAACACTAATCATTCTTGCATTTTCTTTTCCTTAGAGAGTAAGCATCCTGTCCATGGTAAGTTTTACCCTTCCCTTCATGGTACCGTAACAATTTGTCACACCAGACTAATCTCCAAGCAGATCATACAGTGCCAAGGCAGTGTCCATTGGCCAGAGCTCTAGCCACCATGGCTAATACTAATAGACATTGCTCTGGCCAATGGATTCTGCCAGTGACTTTCCAGTTCCACTGTATGATCTGCTTAGAGATTACGCCAAACTGGTTTAACAATATTCATTCGTATCTTTCACGAAGAGTATTCAGGGGTCTCCCCAGAAATTCTGAATCTTAGGGGAGAGGTGCTTCCTAATTGGTTAATGAAAAATCAGCAAATACTAAGAAAAGAAACCTTAAATTTGAACATTTTGGGAGAGGTGCAAGGACTTTTGGGAGAGCGGGAGCACCCTTGTGTCAGGATGGTACTGTTGTTTTAAAACTTAGTATCTTATTAGATGGAATGATCAGCAGATTTAAAGAATAAAATGACAAAACAGCTCTTTTTCCCCACCCCAGTTGTAGTGGACCCTATCCTGTGTGGAGTACTGCGGCCTCACCAGAGGGAGGGAGTGAAGTTCATGTGGGACTGTGTGACGGGGGTCAGGATACCGGGGAGCCAGGGCTGCATCATGGCTGACGAAATGGTAAAGGAACATTTCCATGTGATGTATCTGCTCGAAAATCACAGCAATTTATGGAGTACACATATATGTATTTTTCTCACTGTCTATATGACTTTCTGATCACGAAAAAACATGAAGATGGTATCGAGTGTTTATAATGATTGTTGTAATAAAAAGATTTTCTCATGTGCAGGAAGATGTTATCAAATTGAACAAGTACTATTTTCTTGTATTCAGGGTTTAGGCAAGACTCTTCAGTGTATCACTCTACTCTGGACACTACTGGTAAGCATTCTGTTCGTACATACAGTAAACTTAACGGTATCTAAATTCATGGCCTTAAGCTTCTATATAGACCAAAGAAATTCTGAACTTCTCTTCAAATGGTTATAGAACCATGAAGTTACTATTAGAAAATTTTCACAGATTCCCTTTGACGCAGTTATTGTCTCATTCTAGCTTGTCACTCATTTGTCTCACATTTTTCTTTTCTTAACAGAAACAAAGTCCTGATGGTAAGTACTGTTAATACTTAATAATTGGCATTGAGCTGCTTTCTTGTCTTTCTACCGTGGCTGGATATCATGCTGTAAAAAATTTTAGTAGTTATATTACAGTACTTACATTCAGATTTTTTTGTTGTTTTTTTTAAACCACAGCCAAGCCTACAATAGATAAAGCTATAGTAGTCACACCGTCCAGTTTAGTCAAGGTATGTTCAACATTTTTCTTAAATGGAGTAAGTCTGTTGTATGACGTGTTTGTACTAACAGTTGTAATATTGTACAAAGTCTGCTACATCAAAAGTGCTACAGGTTGCATATGTGTATACTATAAGGATATTCTGTATTAGTGGCAAGTACTTTATAACAAAAGAAACTTTATTATAATTTCATTACAAGCTGGTTATACTTGTAAACCCTCCCCTTCCTCAGAACTGGTACAATGAAATCAACAAGTGGCTGGGGACCAGGGTCAACGCCCTCGCGATCGACTCTGGCTCTAAGGACCAGATAGATAGGAATCTCGGTATGTCAACTTTTATTAGAATATTCTTACAATTCTGAGTGTGTTATGTACCATGGTCTTCAAAGGTGTCAACTTTTTTTCTATAATCAGTAGTTTAAGATGATGCAAGAAGCTTTCTGCTTTAGATATTTAAGTATGAAAAATGGTAAAATAGCTTATTTAACGAAGTCCTTAAAAACAAAGGCCCTAATTTAAAAAAAATTAAGTTGCCAATTTCTCAGCCATACAACATCCAATTTACTTCAAACAAAAATTAGTTAGTTTCTTTCAGTGAACTCTTTTAGATGAACTAAATTGTGAATGGCTTACAACAATCTTTTTGGCCAATACCCCTACTGATAGTATATTTTCCCCATATACACAGACAGTTTCATGTCCCAGCAGGGCAGACGTGTGTCCTCCCCCATCCTCATCATCTCGTATGAAACCTTCCGGCTCCACGCTGCTGTTCTACACAGGGGGCCTATAGGACTGGTCATCTGTGACGAGGTACAAACAGTTTTTTCTCGTACAACACTGAACATGTATATTGGCTGTGTTTTGTGTTGTTGTTCTCTATAAACACAGCATGTTGTACAGTTATTATACTTAGTCTAGTTTCTTGAGAAGTTGTGTAAACTTTCTTACTTCATAACCTTATTAGCAGTTTCTAGACCAAAGAAATGAAAAGAAGTGAACTTTAAAAGAGTTCTAGAACTATGAAATTAGTACTATATAGAAAGAATTTCCACTTGTTATTACAAAGTTTATCCCATTCTCTCACTGACTTCTTTGTTTTTCATTACTCTTTTGTTTCCCTAAAAGTTGTGGAGGGGAATATTCAGCTTTTGCTTGTGGATGTTAGGTATTTTAGTGCACATTAGCAGAGCGTACTGTGCCTGTGCGAAGCCCCCATTTTTTTACAGTTTTCGTTGGATTTTTGGTCACCGTTGCATCAGCATTTTGCCTGTTGCAGAGGATATCTTTTCCGACATAACATTTGGAAACTACAGGCGGGATGTTAACCTTATATGCTCAAATACGACCTTATATGAGACGTTCTGCCGAAGTGCTATGCACAATACATTACAGGTTTCACACAGGTGCAGTACATGTACGTTCTGATGACATGCCTAAACAGTGTTTTCCTCCTCCCCAGGGCCACCGTCTGAAGAACTGTGAGAACCTGACGTACCAGGCCCTGAGCGGGCTGAAGTGCAGGAGACGGGTCCTGCTGTCAGGAACTCCCATCCAGAACGACCTGCTGGAGTACTTCAGTCTCGTGCACTTTGTCAACACTGGCATCTTGGGTGGGTGAAGCAGACCTCAAAATTATCCCTCAATAGTTTCATCAGGCTTTTAAATAATAAAGAATTTACCTGCTAATGTTTTGGTGCTATGTTCTAACCAGTGGCAGTTTCCATTATTTGACAGAATTTTGCCCAAAGGACAAAAATTGTTGTGTAAAGATATGGAAAGAGATGTCATCAAACTAAGCTTACTCTACCAGCAAAATGTCAAAATTTTCCTGTGAGCATTCCCCAATACCCCCCCCCCTAGGATTGTTACACATGCCTCATTCTTCTAAAGCTCGACATGATGTTATGTATAAAAAATTGAGAAGACAGAAATAAATTTTAGGCTGGCTACAACAGTGTTTTGGTGGTCTTTCTGCTACCCACCTAATGGAAATACATTGTAATGCCTAAACCAGTGGCAGCTTTATTTCCCATTTCTTGATTTAAAATGTATTATAATCAACCTAAAAATTTCTGATGTGTTTGACCTCTCACTCAGGCACGGCACAAGAGTTCAAGAAGCGGTTTGAAACACCAATCTTACGTGGTCGAGATGCAAGTGCCTCCGATAAGGACCAGAAGAGGGGAGAAGAAAAACTCAAGGAGGTGCAGTTATTTCATTCAACCAACACTCTTCAATGCTTTCACATAAACGTCTATGTTTCATTCCAGATTTTTAACTAAATACATCTTGTTAATATGAGGTGTTGTGTTGTTATTTGTTGACAGCTGTTGGACATCGTTGACCGATGCATTATCAGGAGGACGGCCTCCATCCTCTCCAAGTACCTGCCAGTAAAGAGTACGTACAACTAGACATTCTATGATACTATGTAGTAATTTTTTCTCAACATTCAGCCAGCCAGGGTAGTTCTTTGGCACCAAAATCTGTATTGGCTCCCAGTCCCATATTTGGCAGATGATTAAAAGTTGTAAGAAATTTGAATTCAGAAGTGAATTTTAGTTGGTAGACTAAATTTTTCTTTAAGGTTACAAGACATTGTGTGAGTCTAGAAAGTCTATACAGGTTAGACATTTTGTATTTTAGTATTTGGGATGAGATGGCTGTGTAGTCAGGTTATATGGGTTCTCTTCTTCTCTGTAGTTGAGCAGGTGGTTTGTTGCCGACTGACACCCCTACAGACTGCCCTGTACAAGCACATGGTACAGTCCAAACTGGTGCAGGCTCAACTGGACAAGTCCAAGTCAGGGAAGGTGACGGGGTCCGCATTCACTGCCATCACCCAGCTGAAAAAACTCTGCAACCGTGAGTACTAACAAGTTTGTATTTTGCTCCTCCTAGCATATTTATCTCAAACTGCAGTTTACAAGTATGTTATCTGCATGACATTGTATGTACAAAGCAGGATATGCTGTAATTATACATGTATGAATTGTGAGGGAAGAAGTTGAAAACACAAGCCCCAGGTCAACTTTCAAAAGATTAAAAAAACTGCTCTGGGAGCTCAGGTAGATGTAATGGTTCAAAAACTACTCTGCATTTGCTAGCAAGTGTTCTAGTTCTACAGAATAGATGTATATAATTGTTACTCTGGTGGTTACAGATCCTTCATTGATTTATGAGAGATGTCTGGAGGGCGAGGAAGGGTTAGATGGAGCTCTGGATCTCTTCCCAGCTAACTACAGTCCCAAACACATCCAGCCAGAGCTGTCAGGTAAGGTTTCCTTATTATTCTTACCCGTTAGTAACAGTTGACAAAACCAGCTTTAAATGTGTTATGTGTAGCCCTAATTCTGAGAAATCTAAACCAAGACTTGTAAACTACGATGTTTGATATATGTACTGACATGTATCTACAGGGTTTTTCCTAGTACTAGTAGTAGTAGTATTTTTCAGAAGAAGTATCATTTGATATTATATTGTTGGCAATGATGGAAGAAAATAATAACCGTTAAAATGATTATAGTCATCTTGAAAGAAAAAAGATTAGAGGCTCATGCTATGTGAGCATGTCTTTTTTGACATGACAAAAACGTCTAAAACTGGGAAACCTCTCGACCAACCATAATGCAACCTTAAGTGTGCTAAAATTTAAAACCAACATGTTTTATTCTCTTTCCCAGGCAAGATGCTGGTTTTGGATTACATCCTGGCCATGACCAAGACTAAAACCTCGGATAAAGTGGTCCTGGTCTCCAACTACACACAGACACTGGACCTGTTTGAGAAGCTGTGCAGATCCAGAGGGTAAGTCATGGTGTGTCGATGAAGGTTAGACATCCAGGTAATAAGATAAACAAGATGCTCAAGCAACTGGATAGATTTTGAATTTTTTTCGGTTGCTTTAGTATTTATTATATGTGTTTATTATTCAGTTATTATGACTGTGTAAGTCATGGTTTCTTTGTCAATTGAGAGTTATGCTGTTTGTTCTTAGTTGCTGTTTGTTGTGAGTCTAGTGCTCACCATTGAAGATTGCTATATGGGCCAGGTACCATCTCCAACATGTAGGTTGTGTATTGGGAGGTGTAGCTCTGCTAGTTTTACCGAGATGTTTTCCTTTTCTATGTAGTAAAGCTCACATGACTGCCCCTATCTGCTTGCAGGTACCTGTATGTCCGTCTGGACGGATCTATGACCATCAAGAAAAGAGCAAAGGTCGTGGAGAGGTTTAACAACCCCAGTGTGAGTACTTTAGTTTTACTGGGTGAAACAATATTACATGTATTTTAATTAATTAAAAGCATTTTCACTGCAAAGAAACTGTCAGAGTCTGACACCATATGAAATTGTTTCAACCAGTTGTAAAACTATTAGAGAGACTGTCTTCAGAATAGAATTATTTAAAGGCAGTCATGTAATTTTTTCAAAAGGTTATTTCCTTTGGCCATCACTTTCCTTTGTGATAACCAAGTCTAGGGACTTTTTATACATCTGTTGCATTTGTGTATTTATATTGTTTTTCTTTATTTCCAGAGCCCTGAGTTCATCTTCATGTTGAGTAGTAAGGCGGGAGGGTGCGGGCTGAACCTGATTGGTGCAAACAGACTGGTGATGTTTGACCCTGACTGGAACCCGGCCAATGACGAGCAGGCGATGGCGCGGGTGTGGCGCGACGGCCAGAAGAAACAGTGTTATATCTACAGACTACTGGCAGTGAGTACAATCTGAGGAATAGGAAGGCAGTATACTGTAAACTTTATAAGTGTGTGGCATGGTGCTGTTGTGAACAATAGCCACAGAATCGATTAGTAAAATACTTAGTCTAGTAGTCTAAGAGCACTACATAGTATTATAGTTTTACACAGCTTCCAAGTGAACAGTTTGCAGTATTTTGAGTTTACATGTAAAACAATACTAACTACACAACTACAGCATACAAGTGTAATGGTCATTACATACCGGTACTTACAGTTGTAACAAGAAATCAGAGATTTTAGACTTCCCGGATGTACCTGTATGCAGTTTTTCATTTTCTGAATTCCACACTGTCGGCCCGTACTGAGACCTTTGACCTTATGTCACACTGCCTGTCAATTTCTCCTATCCACATGCTGTCAACCTATTCTGTCTGGCTAAACAGATACACAAACCCATAGCTCAGCCAGCCAGAACAACTCTTCCATACCTGGAAGTAATAAATGTTCCTTTGTTTCCAGACTGGTACGATAGAGGAGAAGATATTCCAGCGCCAGGCGCACAAGAAGGCCCTGAGCAGCTGTGTGGTGGACCAGGAGGAGGATGTTGATCGCCACTTCTCATTGGACGAGCTGCGGGACCTCTTCCCGCTAAATGAGGACACCATCAGCGACACTCATGACAAGTGAGGATCAGTCACTGTGACGTTCTCTTCTGTGTATCAAATTTGATGTAGACATTTTATTACGTAACTGGTAAACTGCCTTAAAGCATATCAAACCATTAATAGTTGTACCTGTACTTGTACCTGTATGTTGCATAAGAATGGACTGATTGAAATGCTCCAGACACAATTGGATCCGTACACTTACCAATAAGTGTGGTGGGTTCTTTAACATATTACTCGAGGTGTGGCTATCCTGAAACATGGGACTTCAACTTTACATCTGATTGAAATAATCCAGACACAACTGGATCCATACACTTATCAACAAGTGTGATGGGTTCTTAAACATACTCGAGGTGTGGCAATCCTCACCTCAAACATGGGACTTCTACTTTACATCTCATCAAAGACAAAGTTTTTGTGTCTGAATGCTGTTTTTTTGCATATGGCTATCTCCCAGAATGAACATCTCCCTGTCCCTCCCTGTCCTGTCCAGGTTTAAATGTCGTCGCTGTGTGAACAGAATCCAGGTGCGACCGCCGCCCGACGATTCGGACTGCAACAGCGACCTCTCCCAGTGGCACCACGCTGCCGACAAACGGGGGCTCCAGGACCTCATGCTCAAGGCATGCTGGGATGCCGCGGTGACCTTCACCTTCCACCACAGGTCACACGAGGAACAGAGGGGTGTGGTGTGAGAACAGCCTGTGATTGGTCAGTTAGCATCACATGACAAGCAGAGGCAAGGACCTGATTGGCTTGGTTTTAGTTCTCTTGTGAGAATGCCACATGATTGGTTGGTTGGTCAATATCACACGACAAGTGCAGAAATGGACCAATGACTGCCTGGCTTGACTTCAGGAAAAGAAAGTTAACTTGACTGTAGATTGGTGTAGCAAGACTGGGTAGATCATGGCACTGAAGAGTTATATCTGGTCCAATATGTGCAAAGAGAAACACTGTCCAAAGAAATTGCAGTCATTTAACAATGATTTGGACAATACTTAGCACTTGGACTGTATGAACAATGTACTGGTACCTCAAACCTTTAAAAAGAACGTTATCGGTCTATAGGTATTAGAAACATGTAATTGTATCTTTTGCTGCAATGGATGGTAAAAAATCAGCATCACTGATAAAATTTCACCCAGGAATAGAAGTCTCTTAGGTAGATTAGTTATGTATTGAAGACTACTTTTCATTTAAAAGAGCCACATACATAGTTCTGGTTACCATTGCATGGGTGAAGAAATATCTGTACTGGATTATTATCCCCTGCCATAGAACAATGCATGGTATAAATGTCAGCATGCAGAAGTGAAATTTAGTCAGTATGACAGTAGCTTTTCCAGTTTCTAAATGGAAACTTTTCTTGGATAAGCATTTGACAAAGACAAGAATGAACAAAAATGTGGAATAAAACTCTAAAATTTTAATATAACATCTGCTTCATATAGTGACATGTTTTCTTGACAACAAAGATGTACCGTATGACTGTTGACATAAAATTACCCCTATCCCTGCTACTGCAGTACTGGTACCTTATGTCAAAAAAATACAGATTTGGTGCCATATGGCTACCTTAACATAAAAGGGTAAAAGCATTCTGTCTTGGCACTGTACCAACAGACAGTGTGTCTGAGACAAGGGCTGTCAGCTTGGCTCTGTCTCCTTCTGGACCTTGAACATTGCACCGTGCCCAGGGACGATGAAGTCAGCCATGGCCAGCACCTGTCTCCGCCCCTCGGCCTGCTGGGAAGGGTTCTCACTCACATCCTGCCAAAGGGAGGGGTCAGTCAGGTCAGCCTCCTTCTCAAACAGGTCACCTGGCAACAAAGCAGCAATAAATGTAGAGTAAGCTCCATAGCAAGTCAAGAAAAGTAATGAAAAGGAGCCAACATCGTTGATCAATCGATAAAGACCACCCAAGGAATATAACTGTATAATAGGTAGATTTTTTTCAGAGTCATATACACAGTTTTAGGTACATGTAGTTACCAATGCATAGGTGAAGAAATTTCTGTACTTATCCCTGTAGCAAGACAACATTTGCCAGCAAATGCTGAATATCCCATCTTTCACAAAAAAAGTCTGTCCCTTTACCACAAATGGAATTTGAAAGATTGCTTTCAGTGTCCTTAGATAATATAGCCTGACTCACAGAGAGAGAGAGAGAGAAATACTACTAGTATACATGTATCTGACAAGATGGTTTCCAGAAACATCTAATTAGACTGCTGCAGCCTAATGATGCCAAGTTGTGACGTGCTTCAGCCTCTTCAGATTTGTGAAGAACCATTCCTAAATTCTGGAACCATCATGAGATATTCTCACGTGCCTGGCTTTTCTAACATGGTGAAGTGTACTTAACACGAAACTAAACAACTCTCACATCCCAGGCTCTAGAAGCCACGTGAGAACAAGTATCTCTTGGTACACTCAGGGCTGTTAACAAAATTGGCTGTGTATTTCGAGGATGCACTAACCACTAATAGACCCTCAACTCTAACAAGCTTGGAGGCATCCACCTACGCTCAAATGCGTAATATTAAATGCTCTACTCTCTACATGATGATAGTGATGATAAAACTGATTTATAGACTATATATTTTATTGATTGAAGAAAGGCCCTACTCATTCTGAGGAAGTTCTTTAGCAAAGATTGAATGTCGATCAGAGATTTTTGTTTACCTGCTATAACCACTGTCCCTTGTGTTGCTGTTTTCACCACCACGCTGACATCTGCACCTGTGTGTCCAGGTGTGGGGATCACTGACACCTGCTCATCAATGGTGTATGCTGCCCCCTAGGGGATAAAAGTTGTACTGCATCACTAAAGCTGAAACACTGTACATGTACTCCGCTGTAGTCACTAGACTGACTAGTATATCTCAAGGAGGTGATGACCTTGTATATCTTTAACAGAAACAGCAAATAAATGGATCAATACCCAATGACATCCACCAATAGATACATGTAAGAACAGAATAGTGATTTGTTGTACATGTAGAACTAATTTCATCTAACCTGTCTGAAGGGATGGTCTGTGTAGACGTCTCCCTTGCAGATGTCAAAGGAAACAATGTGTGTGGCATCAGGGAAAAGGTTGAGGTTCCCCACATGGTCCACGTGGCCGTGGGTACACACCACGTACTGCACATCCCGGGGGGTCAAACCATGGCTCGATAACTGCTGCAGGAGGGTGCCTTTGTCCTGCAAAATCATTTACTTGCTTAGGGCTGAAAGGTCATGATAAAGTTCTCTGTATCTCTATCTGTGCCCTGTATTGGCCAACAAGCAGGGTTTTGGTATCCAGTCAATCGTGGTTGGGGCATAGAAGTTGGTGTCTGCAGGGCTCTGATAGTTTCCCCCCACCCAGTACAACACAGGTCACCGGTGTTACGCTAATAGAGTTGATGTGGTGGGCCTAATCAAGCTCATGGCATGAAAAACCTACTGGGGAAACCTACAGTACGGTAGCTCAGGTGGGCGGTGAAGAGCTCCTGCAGCCCCAAAGAAAACTGCCTAACCACGATAGACTGGATACCAGGTTAGGTTTTATCTAGCAAAATTAAGCATGAGGGAGCAGATCAGTCTAGCATGGCGAGGGAGCAAAGCCACCGAGTGGGGGGTTGAATATTGGAATTTTTACAAGAGTAACACAGTTTGTAATGCTAGATTATGCATTGTTATGACAGGACCAAATACCAGTAGCTGGTATATGACACTGGATGGTCCTTCAATGTTGCTGAACAAAAGGCTAAGGACTGTGCTGCCTGGCGGGAAAAAATGAAGAGGAGCAAGGAGCCAGCTCTGGCCTAAGCATTTAGGCAGGTAGCCAGGTAGACTGGCTGGTTACATGAGGGAGCAGCACCCTTATTCTCCGACTTAGAAAAACCCCTGACAAGGATTACTTCTTTTTGGTATAACCCACCATCTTTGCAGGCATGTGGCACTAGAGTCCAGGTTGCATGTGGCACTAGAGTCCTGTCCACTAGAGTCCTAGAGTCCTGTCTTCTTTGCTACTGTTGGCAGGTGAGTGGATCGAACAAGACTGGACTCTTCTAGGTTATGTGGCACTTGAGTTACATTGAAAACATCTTGCATAATCTATTCTTTCATTTTTTTTTTCAAGAAAAGACAACAACAAAATACAAGCATGGCATGTCAAGACTTACAAAATACAGAGTGAGAATTGTGAATCTGTATAATGTATTATAAGCCCACACGCATTGTAATTTTTTGATTATGCAAATGTGAATATGCTTTTAATCTGTAAATTTCAATGCAATTCAGTTGTGTCTGAACAGGATTGAATTTGACACATTTGCAAAGTTGATTTAAAAAAAAAATATTTAATTTAATTTAAAAGCAACATCAATCAGGTCTAATCTTGCATATGCTTGTTGCTTTTCTGCCATTCAAAAAGAGCCCTTTACAGCAAACATATGGCAACAGGTTTATAGAATAAGGGAGCCTACCACAGTGTGACTGTATGTTGTTATTGTTGTTGTCCACATCATGCAAACTGGTGTCACCTCGTACTGAACAAGGACTGTTTGTGCGCACAAAATATACGTCAGAAATGTGGGAACAACGCAAATCATGTTGAAAAGTGACAATAAATGTTGATAACAGCGAATAAACATACAAACAGTCTATCACTAACCTACCTGAGGACCGCCAGTGTCGACCAGGATGACGTGCCTCCCCTGTACCAGTGTGATGGTTCCATCCGCGTGGAACTGTCCACTGTCATCCTGATAGGAGTACCCTTCCTTCAACACTGTCACCCTGTAGACACACCCATCCTCCATGGCCCTGTGGCACACCAACAATTTACAAAACATCCCATCAAGTTAGTCAATACCTGTACATAAAAGTTCAAATTCACATCACCAAAAATCTGTAAGAAGAACATTTAGTATGATGATGATTTTTCCTTTTGGAGTTTTTCTTTCAGGTTAAGAACTTTCTTTTGGAAGCCTTTTACTAATACATGTATTATAAAAGCAGAGAAAGATGAAACAAACAGGAGCGAGTACTCGGAGTAGAAACAGGAAAACCCCTGACTTCCGGGACGCCAGGGATCGAACCCACGCCCAACCCGGGCAGCCAGCTTTAATACCACACCAGTGCGCTAACCACTACACCAAAAGGTCTGGAGTCCCATTATAATGGATCAGTTTAATCAAGGAGGTTCTTCCTTTATAGCTCCATGGTTTAATAACGGCACTTGAATCCCACTGTTACACAGATACTGGTATACAATGACTTAAATTACCACGAAGATGCAATATCTAAAGCCAAATCTGCTTGTTGGAGACTTGGACCTGCTGTACTGGAAATCCTTAGTTATCAAGAACCACTTAATGCATCAGTCACTACATAAGTCAAAGACACCACCTAAATAAGCCAAACCATTACTTGTCTGTTCTGCTTCCATTTAAAGGTCAACGTAAGGACTTCTGCATGACCTTTTATGACTAATTGGGCTCAACAAACGATGTCTGCAAGTACAGCAGGTCTGGGTCATATTGTGCTCAGCCACCTTAATGCATTACCTGGGGTATTCATTATAAATAATGACTTCCGCACCACAGGTACATAGTGGGCCTACATGCCTTTTTTTACGAAAGCTGTACACATCTGCTTTGATATTATGTAATCTGTAATTGGACTGATCTAATACATGTAGAAGGTGAAGGGCATCTGGTGGGTGGGTGAATATAATGTATTTATTCATTAGGGAAGTTGCTGAATAAATTGAATGTACGTTGTACTATAGTAGTTATGAGTGTGGAGAATTTTGTGTAGTTCACCACACCCCATGCAGACCCCTATCATACCACAGAATCATACATTTGTACATAACAAAATCCTGTCCATGCACCTGTACAGGAAATCCACCATATAACAAAACCATCTGGAAATCCTTCTTCATCTGTGCAGGAAGTCTACCATATTTGGTTTGATTACTGATTTCTTGGCTCATTGACACCAACTGCTACTGTAACAGTATCCTCATTTCTTCTTTCCACTGACTACAAATATAACACTAGGTTTCTTTGATGTGAAGTATTTGACAGTCTCCATAGCAACCTAAATTTGGCTGGTGGTTTGTGGCTAATGAATTCTGAATATCATTAGTTGCGCTCTGGTTCCAGCTGGGAGCCGATACCTAGAGAACACTGCAGCAATCAGAAACAGTCTGCACATAGCCTCAAACAGACACCAAAACCCGTAGCCTGGAGTCCAGCCTTGTTACTAATGTTAGCTTTGGTCTGCTCCCCAAGATCCGCTGTCCCGCAAACAGGGCTGGATTCCAGGCTACAAAACCCCCACCAAGGAGGCTGCTATGGAGGCTAATAGTACTACCCACTGTGGTTACCTGCCTCCTCCCTGCCTGCCTCACCTGTCTGTGTGATGGACTCGCCCGACTCACCTGAGCTGACCCAGATGACCCCGGGCTGACCAATCAAAACGCGCTGTGATCACGTGAACAGAAGGGTGGGCGTCGAGATCTCGCGAGATTCATTCCTGGGCGAGTCCACTATGTGAATCGGAGGGTTGTCTGAATAATTATTTCAACAACTTTTATAAGTATAAATCGATTTTGTTAATCAATGTGTCTTTAATTACTTTAAAATCAATACATTGGTCTTAGATTTATGCATTTTAATCGCTTTGTTGTCTTTTTTGACACGCAGTTAGTTGAGTTAAAAAGTATTTATTATTGATTGTATTGAATTCTCCCGCCCAGACCCTAATAGCGAGATCTTGTCAGCCGTGCGGTGGCTGAACAGCTACCGGCCGATAACATAGAACAAAATGAGTCAGAATTAGCAGGATTTCCCCACTTTACCCTCTGGTGACAACCAGGAAAGGGTGGAAAAGATGGCCATGGAGCTTCGGCTGAAGAGCCCGGCAGGGGCCGAGCCTGCGATCTACCACTGGCCGCTGCAGTCGGTAAGTACCCTGCCGACCCAACGCTGCGATCAGCCTGACCTCAACGCGACCGACTATCGAATTTCACGCCACTGTTTTCCCCTTATTTTACCATTTTTACACACCCATGTTCCTTCCCGATCTTAGAAATGACGGAAAGTCGTGTTTTTCTTCCCCGTCCAGGACAACAACAGGGACGAGGCGCTGGAAATCATCGAGACGATCAGGTAGGGTGATTGATGTATTCCCGGTGCAAGCCAGCCATTTGTCTCGCTGGGGGAAGAAACCCACATCTGTGGACACCTCGTGCCGGGAGTAATAAAACATTTCCCACTTATAATACCGACGTCTACGTGTTCCCCGCACCGTTACGCCGTATTACAGCAACATCGGGGATTCAAAGCGGGAAATATTAGCTCTCACAGGGACCGTTTAACGTCCCAGCCCGGCACGGCGTGGTCCGTTTTTTCGAGGGTTTTAAATAATTTTGTTTTGTTTTGGTTTATTTTTGGCACGGTCCAATGTGTGGCGTCCCAGTTATTGGGACAAGCCCAGACCTGGCCTTGTACTTCGACATGATGTGAGAAATTATATTCACACGAGTATGTGCAGAATTTTTATTATAAGTTCTTATGAATTTTTCTATGAGGTAGGATAATATTTTCCCCTTGTGCCCAGCAAGTTGTCCATGTTACTGCATTTGGAGGCCTGTTGTAATAATTTAATCGTTTGACAAAATTATTACACTAGGAATTCGGATACATGCCTGTTCACATTTTATAAATCTTGATGTGTGAATTTTGTTTGAGAGTACATGTATTTACTACACAATTTGACCCCAGGAATTCCTTGGATGCCATTAGTGTAAATACAATCATTCAACTACTTTGTGTTATTCCTTTGAATTGAACTAAAAAAATGC